ATTCAATTGATTCCTACTTCATTTGGTGTGTGCTTCTCCCCAATTAATTTCCCTGTTGTGCAAACCACGATAGACCATGGCTAGATATTAAAAGATAACTTTAAGCACAAAAACTACTAAGATCAGATAAAGAGCCTTATGTTTGTTTGCAACAGTGTCAAGCCAGCCACCTACGTAATGTCATGAATGTCATCTCTGCATGGAAGTTCCATTTATCAATGCAATCTGAAACTCGTCCTTCAGTTTAATTTTTCCAGTTCTTTTAGAACTGTTCATTTTGTTCAGGGACAACCGAACAGCTGTGACAGCTGATGGAAGGAGGAGGAGGAGGAAGAGCCTCCCCGGTTCAACACCATGCCCATCATCACAGCTTATTTAGGATTACAGGTAGTCCTTGACTTAAGACCATCATTGGGACCAGGATTTCCGCTGGCTATTAAATAAGTCAACGTGCCCGGTTTTTAGAACCTTCTTTGTCGTGACTGTTAAGCGAATCACTGCGTTCTTAAGCGAATCACAGAGTTATTAACTGAATGCGGCTTCCCCTCCACTGATTTTGCTCGTCAGAAGCCGGCTGCAAATGGATTCACTTGAATCCAGGACCTGCAACCCACCATAGCTTGGTTGCCAAGCGCCTGGATTTTGATCACGTGACCATGGCAATGATGTGATAATCCTAAGTACAAGGACTGGTCATAAATCACATTTTTTTTTCCAGTGCCATTTTAACTTGTTAAAAGAATGGCTGTAACCTAGACAGAGCGATAAACCTTTAAATCAGAAGAAGTTAAGAGAGAAGTTCTACTAAACAAGGAGGGTCCTTTTAAAACAAGGAGGCCAACTTTAAAACTTCTGGACTTCAACTCCCAGAATGGTTCACTGGGGAATTCTGGGAGTTGTAGTCCACAAGTCTTAAAGTTGCCAAGGTTGGAAATCTCAGTCCTAAACCTCAGCCATTACATTAATTTGTGTTTTTCCTGGCTTCTAACTCAGTGTTGGGTTACTTTTTTAGTAAACAGATTTAGGATGATTCTTCATTGTTATATGCGTATAAATTTCCTTTAAAGTAAGCACCAGGGTCATTGAACAGTCCTGGTATTAAGAATGGCACAATCTACATCCAACCGTAGATTTTTGTTAATAGGGTCTTGGACAATAGTTCAAGAGTTTTGCGTTTTGAAAGCCCGGAACCATTAACCTTTTCACAGCAGTTTGTTGAGTTTAATTAGCAAGCTAATGAAACTGGTCTCCAGCACAAGAGGATAAATGAGGAAAGACTCTGGAAAAGGGTTTGGGATATAGCTGATCGCTTTTTAAGAAAGCAAGCTGAACTTTTTTCATTTTCTACCAGAAACTGCTATTCCTACAAGGCAGATTTGTGTTCACAGCAATGGGGGGGAAAGGACCCATTTCTGAAGAGTTATGGGATAATTGGCAAACAAAACCATAGAGATTCATCAAGTGTGTGTGTGTGTGTTTGTGTGTGTACTCAGACAGGTAAGCAAAATACCCAGCCATATTTTGCTTTCTTTACAGGGTGCCATTGGCTGCTCCCCTCTTTTAAGAAGCTCACCTTGGCATTTAAAAACGAAAGAAACGAAAACCCTGACGTCTGCTGGGTTGTTGGTATTACAGGCTGTAATATGCAATACACAGGCATGCACACATCATGCACACACAAACACAAGGCTTCAACACGTCAGTTCCAGCTTTCCAGCTAAGCATTTCTACGCAGCTGTAGGAATTTAAGGCTTCATTAAAACTACCTTTTAAAAAGCAGCCAGGGTTAACTGTTTACCTTATTCCTAGGGAGAGCCTCACTATTCCCACCCTTCTTATTTAAATTTTCAGAATTACATTTTTGGAAAGCCAGCAAAAGCGTGTTTCTAAAAGGCAACTTTTAATTGCATTCCAGCATGGGTATAAATATAAGCATTTGCCCCAACATAAAAAACGCTGGTTTTGTTTTAGAGAGCAATAGGAAGGACAAACAAGCAGGATTTTTCTGCTCAAGTAAGCAAGCAAGCGCAGTGGATTAAAAAAAAAATCTTTTTAAAACAAAAATCACACAGGAGAGAGATGACCTAAAAATAGCTCCTTCATATAAATCATGTTTCCAAAACGGGGAGCAGTTGGTGACTGCAGGCATGCAGAATTTTGATACTGCAAGCACACAGGCACACACTTAATATTGTTGCTCCAACCTATCCTGGTCTTTCCAGAAATCTCTAGATGGTAGAGATGGGGCTTTTCCACGCCAGCAGAATTCCTCTGGAAAAAACCCACAGCTCAATTGGGTATTTGGACCACTAGCCCACACTGCACCCCCCCCCCGTTTTTTTTTCTTTTTTGCACATTGAAGCTGCATTAAAATGGGGGGGGACGGACGGAGAGAAAAGGAAAATGGAGCGAGCTTTGTTTACAGCACCCGACCGGCGAGGAGGCAGTGACAGTGAATGTATAATGGGTACCCTGAACAAAGAAAACCCAGCGAAGCAACCACTTCGCTGGCTTTAACCCCTCCCGAGTTTTCAAGCCCGCTCGCAAACGGATCTGCAGGAGCCGCGGACATAAAAGCGAGGGAGAAAAACGGTTAAAGGGAGATAGGAGACCTACATGTATATCTAGCGTGGCACAGAATAGCTCCGGAGGACGGGTGTCCTCTCCTGCCTGGATGCTTTGTGATGGGAGGGGGGGCTCTTGAGAGGCAATGCCAGGGTGGAAGGAGGCCCCGGAGGCCCGTTCCCTAAAAGAGAGTAGCTGATGGTACCCATTAAGAGAGAGAGAGAGAGAAAGGAAAAAAAGAAACCCAGCAAACCAACTGAGCAGCATCTTGCAGCTTGCGGAAAGATGCTCGCGCAGCAAACGGGCTGGGCAAAAGGTAGCGTGGGACAACTTATGTCCAGAACCGAAGCAAGCCACCGGGCGAGCTCAGGACATGCCACCAGGGCAAACAGAAGGACCCCTTTTCTCCCCCTGGCAAGCCTTGGGATGGCTCCCTACGGCCGGGGTAGAGGGGCAGCCGCGCGAACGCTCGGCCGATGCTTTCCAGGGTCCAAGCCCCACCGCCCCCTCCTCTCCCGCGCCGGCCAGTGACGTCAGCGCTCCCTGTTGTTGTTATCCCGCGGCCACGAGATCGGCGCGTTGCGCGCGCCGCGTTTTTCGGCCAAGCCGGCGGCGGCTACCGCTGCCACCGCGCTCGACGTTGCTCCCAATCCCCCTAAGGGTGATCTCTCTTTTTCTCTCTCTCTCTCCCCCTTTCGCGGACCCCTCCCCCATCTCCTAAAGTCATCCAAACAAGGAGGGGGGGGGGAGGAAGAACGCATAACAAAAGCTGGGCTAGGGAGACGACCCCCCCCTCCCCTTACGCGCCAATGCTCGCCTCCCGGCGCTGGTGGAAGGTTTGCCGAGCAAAAGAAAGGAAGGCGCAACACGCCGCCTCCCGCCCCGCCGTCATCACCTCCTCCTTCTCCTCAAGGCTGGGGCGGGAAGAAAAAAGCAGATCTGCAGCGGGATCAGTGCGGTGGGACAATAAGGCAACATTTCCATAACAAGAGAAAAGGGTCTGGCAGCAAAGTTGCAGCCGGGGGGCTGGCAAACATCCCTTTTGCTCTGCGCTCCCCATGCACGCGCACTTCCCCCTCCCCGGGCTCCTTTTCTTTAGCAATTGGGGGTCACCTCCTCCTAAGGGGAGGAAATACCAAAATAGTGAAATGCCAGACACGGTCCGGGCAGGCATAAATGTAAACGAATCTGCATCGCCCCCCCCCCCCCCACCCACCCAACCCTTCCCCATCCCCCCAGTCGAGCTTCGTTTGGGGGTAAAGGGCTGCCTGCAAAACAGCACGGAATAAAATTCCTTCGGGGAAGTTTATTTGGAGCAGGGCCTTGCCAAAGCCTGGGCTACACCCTCATCCGCTTGTTTACATTTGCAACTTCTCCGCTAACGTGCTTGCTCCCCCACCCTCCAAGAAACCCGGCCCAACTCGGGCGAAAGTTGAAAGATTCCCCAGGGAGGAGGAGAAAGTGTCAGCCGCCCTCCTTCTCCAGCGCCGGCCAGCAGCGTTTGCAAACTGGTTTGAAAAAAGCGCCCTGATCCGTTCAGCCACCAGGGTAGTTTGCCGCCAATAAAAGCGGAGGATCGCCAAGATCTGGCTGAAAAGAACGCTTTCCAAACCACGCCAAACCGTCCTACAGCGCTGGGTAGGAGCCGGCGGTGCGTCTCACGCCCGCAGGATTTCGGATAGCCGTTTCCACACCAGGCGTTATCTTGGAAAGAGGGTGCAGGGTATGGGAAGGGGTGGAGGAACCACGCGCATAAAGGAACCCCCCAGGGAAACTTGTTTAAGACGAGAAAAGGCGAGCGGGGGGGGGGCTTGTTTGCAAGCTCCTGCATTCCCCACCCCCCTAAGCTTAGCATCGCCTGCGAGAGACCCGGAGCAAAACCCCGAGGCCTCGCGCGCCCTGCGCCTGTGCTGGAGGTAAAATGAGATTATCTTTCGCCAGGGCGAAAAGCCGGAGCACGCGAGGCGAAGGGAAAGCCGAGCCGCGCTCTCCTCTCCGCCTCAGCTTTGTTTCCTCCAGCACATGCCTCACGGGAAGCAGCCTTGCGCTCCTAGAAGCGCACCGTCCTTATCGGGTCCTTTCCAACGGGACACCGCTCCCCTCCCGTGTTTCGATCCGCGATCAAAACACGCGGCAACGAGAGGGAAGCGATTGCCCCCAGTGGCTCCCGCAGCGCCGAAGAGCGCTTGTTTTTGTTCTTTTCCCCTCTCCAGTTAACCAATCTCTCCCCATTTAACACTTGGGGTATTTCCCCGACTTGGGCGCTTGCACATTGGGGTTGATGCTGCTGGGTCCCCTTCTGGGCATCACCATTATTATTGTTATTGTTGTTGTTGTTGTGAATAATGGGATTATTATAAGGCCCAGATCACGCACACCCCCTTTTTCTTTAACAAAGGAGGAGGTGCCCCTCGCAAACTTTTCTCCATACTTACGTGTGCAAATGCTTCCCCAAAGGAAGGCGAAAGTTAGCCACGAAACCTTCATTGTCCCCCTTTCTCTCCGTCTCTCCTGTTTCTTGCCTGCTGGTGCGAGGAAGGGTCGCCGGGGGAGACGAACGGGCGGACCGGGAGGGAGGGCAGACTTCAAAAAACGAAAAGGGAGGATTAAACACCCTTCCCGGCTCTCGGTGAGCAATCAAAGTCCCGCAACAGGAGAGCCAAGAAGATACGTTGGGGGCGGCTTTAAATCCTCAAGACAGGTGGATCGCAGGCTGCCCGGTTCCCGGCGCAAGGAAGCTGCCGCTCCAATTCACAGAGATGCGCCGATCCGGGACTCGCTTGTCCGGACCTGCTGGGTGCTGGTGGCGGCAGAGGCCGGCAAGCCCTCCGCCAGCCGCCCCTTCCCCAAAGCGTCCCTCTTCTTCTTCTTCTTGGTCTTCTTATTCAGCAGCCGCGGCGGCAGGAGGAGGAAGGGGGGTGGGCAGAGGAAAAGCCGAGGAGGCGGAGGAGAAGGCGCGGCGTAGACCCCTCACCGGAATTATCCGTCCCCTCCCCCAATTAAATTAAATCGCCCTCGCTCGCGCGCCTCCAAGTCCAAAGCAAGAGGCAGCGACAGCCAGCAGAACAAACTTTGCCTCGGGGAGTCCGGGGGTCTCCAGAGCAGGCACCACCGCTCAGGCAACGGCGGCTGCCAACATCGCTATCAAAACGGAGCGCGAGTCGCTCCTGCGGCTTCGGTCACGTCCTCCTCTTCCTTCACCGCCGCCGCCGCCTATGCCGTTCGGGCCGGGAGAAAAGGTGGCGAAGGCGCTGCTGCAGGGGACAGGCGGAGTGCGATAGCCACCCTCGCTCTTGGGCATCGCTTGCCGGCTCGGCCGCACGGGAAACGGACGAGCAGCGTGCCTACCGCTCTGAGCGGGAGGCGAGACTGAGGCTGCAGTTGCCATGAACAGGCAGGCAAAAGCAGGCAGGCGCGCTCACGAGCCCGCCCCGCGCGCGTTCGAGCCCGCCCCTTCCCCCCCCTCCGGTTCGGGAAAAGGGGGGGGAAGGGGGAAACGGAGGATGAGGTGTGGTGTTTGGAGGAGAGGCAGGAGCCCGGATGTTGGATGCAAAAGAGGGGGCCAGAGCAAGGAGGCGGGACCAGGGGAGGATGCTCGGCAAATGACTGGGGCGGGCAGCTGCTCGTCAGGGTGCCCGCGAGGACAGGGCGAGCTAGCCTCGGAGGAGAGTTAGGCGGACGGGCAGGTCGCGCGCCTGTGCGCGCACGCGCGCTCCTTGGCGTCCGAGAGTTTGGCGGGTGTTAGCCCGCCTTCGCCCCTGGAAGCGAAAGCCGCGAGGAAGAGCTGCATCGCTGGCCTCTCTACGGAGCCTGCACGTGTGGCTGCGCACACACGCGTCCCTAGTTGGAGGCCAGCTGCTGTCCGTACCAAGTAACGCAGGACGGCCCTCGACCACCCTTCTGTCCGGAAGGAAGTCCTGCGAAGTGGAGGGGGATTTTTATTTGCTGCCCCGTAAAGCGCTAGAGGACTTCCGATCGAGACCCCTTCGGCCCTTGAGCGTCTCCACATAGGCGCGTGTACCCTGGTCTCCGGAATGTCACCTTCGTAAGGCCGGAGGGAGCGACCCCACCTGGGAAGGAGAATGCGGGCTAGGGGGTTTCTCGGGCCGCTAACATCTCTAGGAGAACTTGGCTCCTGATTCCAGCGAGCCAGGATTGCTTGAAACGGAACCTGTATAAATCCCTCGTGGAGTGGGAAATTATAGGTCATATTAATATGAGCCCCATGATCTAAAAAAAATGTGCAAGCTTGCCAGGGGTCCTGAATTCTAGTTAGTAGAAAGCCTTCCAACTATCAAGAGGAGATAGTTGAGTTCTGATGAGCTGCAAAGTGTGCCAGCCTTTTGGTTTCACCCAATAAAGGCAATAGATGGTAAACAGGCACAAACTTAAGTGCCGATAGACTTGTTTCATTTTTGGATAGGAGACCTCAAGGAAATCCCAGGCACCAAAGGTGCAAAAAATAAAGATCCATGAAGATGACAAAACTGCCAACCGTGCCATTATGTTGCAAAGCCTGGATGTGCCAGTTTAACTGCCAAAACCCCTAGTGTCACTACCTCTGTTCCCAATTGCAATAATTAATAGCACAATCCTTCGTGGGAAATGGCCCCCAGGGGAGATCCATATTGGATCAGTGCTCTAGAACCTTTGCTTTTCTCTTTTCCTTCCTGCTATGTTCAAACTGAAATCGGACTTCATTTGAAAATGCATCGTTGTGGTTCTGCTATTTTCATTTTACTTATTTATGAAACTTGTATGCCACCCATCTCAATAGCCAAAGGACTCTGTTGTGTTCAAAGCATTTGTCTTGGATTATACTGGCTGCTAAAGGGACACCAAAGAATAAGTGGTCACTCGAATTAATATTAGGGGAGAAAACCAGAACAAGCAAGGAAGCCCAAAAGCTGAATCAACCTCCTTCAGCAGCAGACAAATTGGGAATATTTGGCTTTTCAAAGCTGAAGGGAAAGGGAATCCAATGCATTCATCCCTGAACCAGATAGGTAAAACCCCTGGCCTAAATTTGGATGTTCGGCTGTCTTTCTGACTTTCTATAATCCCCTGAAGGACAGATTTTTGCAACATTGTATACCATATAGAGTTTTCTGAAGACTTATTTTGTGTCACAGTGGCTTTTTTTCTTTTTTTAATGTTTTTAAACCAGGGTTAGATAAATACAGTATCCCATCTGAAGTCTAGATAAGTCAGTTAAATACACGAGAGCTGACCTATCTAGTGAGAATCAGACTTCAGAACAGGATACTGTAATCTATCTGGGAGACAACAATCTAACATTGGTTAAAAAAAATAAAAGCCTACACACACAAAAATGACCCTACACAAAAGGTGCCAGGTTTTGACCTTCCTCACCAGCACTGGTCAACTCTGAACAATTGTCCATACCTGACATGTCCATTGAGATCTTACAACCGGCACAATGCCTGATTTTTTTCAACATAGACCACCCTGTCCTTTTTTTGTTTGTTTGTTTCAAGTTTTTGATTTTATTTTATAGTATATCCATATCAATGTGTGAATAGTGTGGCACCCGGCATAAATTTTCATACAAATAAAATTAGTGATATTAATCATATTTGTTACATTCCTCAAGCTTATGTAGTTCTAGTGTTAATACGCATATTTGTATTAAATTATAGACTTTCATTATTTAATTATTCAGTGCTTCAATATGTTATTCCAATGCCAATCACAATATTGTTTAAACATAGATAGCAATACCATCATTCAATTTCTAATATTCCCTCTTATTATTACTTTTGACAGTTGAACTATTATAAGTCCATGTATTTGCCATACACTAGATAAGTACAGCATCTAACTCTTAGCAGTTTGTGAGGAAATATTCCAGCCAACAGTGAAGGATGCTAACGAGATGAAGTTAAGCAACATTCGAAGGTTATACATGGCTCGCCCATGTGTTAGGGGAAGGTTGCAGAAAATACTTGAGCTATCTCTTATCTATATAGCATATGTACATTCTTATCTGGTGGAACATGTCCCAAAATTCTCAGGGTCTTTTGAAGACACCTAAAAAAAAAAGTATCTGGAGACCTTCCTTCCCCTCTCCCTCTCTCTCATCTTTATTATTTGAATAAACAACTCAAGATGATGATCATACCTCATATTCTTCCTATAACAATAACCTGTGAGGTAGGATGGGCTGAGAGAGTGAGTGACTGGCCCAAAGTCATTCAACCAACTTTCACAGCTAAGGTGGGACTTGAACTCAACAGTTTCCAAGTTTATCGCCTGGTGTCTTAACTACTAGACTAAACTGGTGGAATATATAAGTGGAATTGTAAATTAGGAAGAAGTAGACAGACCCTTATGCCATGTGTAATCAAGTCTCATCTACTAAGTCTATGATCTCAGAGAAATGTTTAGAAGCGTTTCACGCCTACCTGATAAATTCTTCTGATTGTAGGTAGGTTGTTCCCTCAACAAGTTCTGGTGAAGAGATGGTTTTGCTCTCACTTCTTGCAACATATATGTGGCCAGATTGAACTAAAAAGTGCGTGTGTGTGTGTGTGTGTGTGTGTGTGTGATTTTGTCTTTTGAGTTCCACATTTCAGGCTCTCCCACCAAGAAAAACACTGCAGTCTTGAGTTCCAATCTTACAAGCACATTCCTAGTCAAGAGGGGGAAATGGTCCTTTAACAGAAATGGAAGGAAGGAATTTCAAGCCCCTCCCATTTCCCTGGAGTAATGTCACTGTTACGGGCCCAATTCACCTCACAAAGGGTGGTTGTTGTGGGGAAAACAGGAGAACGGGTATTATATATCTTTGCTACCTTGAGTCATTTATAAAAATGTGTATTAATTCTAACATTCATATATTTCTATTTCACTTCTGATTTGGGAAAGAAAAAGAAAGCTAATTAACTTGTTAAGATTTTCTTAATGAGATCGTGCAGTGATTATCCATGAAGAACAAATGTTTACTTAGGAAAAAAAAAAAAAGCACTCATCAAGGATTATAAAAAGACATTAACCTATTTCCTCAAGGGTGGAGATTTTCTAAGGGAGGCAGAAAGACCCACTCACACACACACACACACACACATACCTATATCTATGCAGCATGTGGCAAAATTAGAAAGCAAGGTGGATTTAAGAAAGGGAGGTGATACCTATCCTCTGAAAGAGATGAGGTAAGGTAGAATTCTTTTTAAAAAAATGCAAAGCAATTATGAATATATTTTTATCCCACATTTTTATATATAATTCCAGGCAGCAGCCATGTCTAATACACCTGCTTCTTATTTCCTCTAAACAACTACCCTGTGAGTGGGTCGGACTGAGACAAAGAGCAATTGGCTCAAAATCACCCAGTTGGCTGTCATGCCTAAGATGGGACTGGAATTCACCGTCTCCTGGTGATTGGCCTGAAGTCACCCAGTTAGTTTCCATACCTAAGGCAGGACTAGAACTCCCAGATTCCTGGTTTCTAAGCCAGCAATACTACATGAAGCTAGCTCTCAATGTCTTCTGTTAAATATATCCAGGCTAGTTAAAAGTATAACCAAGCCTTGCTAAGTAATTGAAGTGTTCATGCTATGCCCATTTATCAGTAGACATTTTCTTGGAAAAGCAAAGTTGAACTTTCCTTGGCTTGCTTGGCTTGTTCTCAGGAACCTTAAACAAAGCCACAAAACATGTGCGAGAGCATGGCTGTTGGAAAGATTTGACTTGAATCTGAAGAGAGACACAAGTTGCATTTTGGAACTTGAAACAGGCAAGGATTAAATGGCGGCTGGGGGGTGGGGGAGAAATTTACAAGATATAAACACAGCAGTTGAGTTGTGTAGGACTGTGATAGGAAACACCAGGGGTGTAGCTAAAGGAGAGAGTTAAGAAATCAACATCCTGAAAGAAAGAAAGGGTGTGCCACTTCTGAATATTTGCCAAGAAAGAAGCATGCAACAATTCCTAGAATCACCAAGAATCAAAAGGAAAGAGACTTTAGGAGTGAAGGAATGGTACTTTAATTGGCTACGTACTCCACTTTGCTGTTGTGAATGCGTTATGAATTTTGAGAACAGGTTGTGGGTGCTCTCACCTGCTAAGCTGGGCATGGCTGGTGGTAAAAAAATATTTACTAGAAGGTGTTTCTGCCACTAAAAGCCCAGCAGGATTTTACATGACAGCTTGGTTTTAACTTTTTCCTGAAGAAGGGAATCTCCTAAAGCCAATCTGTGAGGATTACGAATAAGAATGCGGTTGCTTCATTGTGCCACGTGTGTGGTTTTATTGCTTCCCACCCTAGTACATAGTCTGTCTAAATCAGACTCTAAATCAGTGTTTTGTCAAACTTGTTAAGATATATGGACTTCAACTCCCAGAATTCCCCAGCCAGGATGAGGAATT